AAGTTTAAAGAGATGTAGATGAGATTTTTACAAATCTCGCAGTTGTAAATAGCAGAGCCAAGTCTTAAAGTTAAATCTGACATTAAGAAATCTTTTGATCTAAAAGTTTGTTTGAACATAGTTCTAATATTTTCCTTCAAGCAAAGGGGAAAATTATGGCTAACCATTGTTATAGTTTTGGTATATAACTGACTTTGGATCATTGTCTTACTTGATCTTGGTATATGACTAAGATTCCAGGAATAAAAATAGAAGCTAAAAGCGCTTGTAGGGGCCCTGTAATATTCTGGACTAAGACTGGAGAAGGAGTTTTTGTGTGTGCCTGCTCAACTACCAAATCTGGATGCAAAGATGCTTTGTGCTAAAAATAAGTAGGAAAATCATGATTAAAGCCAAGTCACAAATCAGTTGTGACTGCATGCTTGGGTGATGGTGGGGCACAGGACAGGTTTTTTTTCTCTGCCATTGAACATCTTTTTCAAACATGCTCTGAATTTTTTTTTTTTTAATTCAAACTACTTTGAGAATTGGAACAGAGCCAGAAAGCTCAAACCAGAATGTTGGAAACACCTATAACTACTCTTGAACCCTCCAGCTTGAAGACAAGCTTTGAAGATGATTTGCCCCACCCGAGGGATTGTGTAACTGAGATACTGATCTAAACAGCTTATGCACACAAAATGGATCTCCCATTATCTTAAATAATGACATTTTATGTAATTTTCACCATTCTTAATACCATCAGGAGGTCTTTATTGGACATACTTTTACAGTCCCTGAAAGCTTTATTGCAATTCAATATCTGACTTATCAGAGAAGCTAGGCAACACAACTAAATCCCCTTCGAGCTACCTTGATGAATGAATTTACCCTGTGGTGATTTACATAGCACTCCTAAGAACAGGTGGCCTCAAACACAGAGCTCTGCCTACCTTTGCCTCCTGAGTGCAGGGCTTAAAGAGGCGCCCTGCTCCACACAGCTAAGACAGAGCCTGTGGAGGGACCTCGGTACTGTGGAGGGGAAGTAAGGAAAGAATGGAGTCTAGAGGAGACACTATATGGAGCGGCTCTAATCTTCCCTTTGAGACCGAACACTTTGCATCAGTATCTGCTGGCTGACTACCTCCCGCCCTCAGACATGTCTTTGGCCAGAGCACTGCCTTCTGCCAGGGTGTGACAGCGCTGAAGTGCCCCGAGTTTGCGAGCAATCCACCACACACCTAGGCCTGTTGTGACTATGTGCCTGACTCTGCCAGAGCTTGCTTCTTGGACAGCTCTCAGGTGCTGCTGACCCCAGGGGCCTCCCTGATTTTCCCTCATGCTTATTTGTTCTGAGCCAACTTCCCAGGGAACCTGACCTAGAGTAAATACCACAGCAGCCTTACTCTTATTATTTGCACAGAGTATCCCTGATGAACATGTTTTTTAACTTTATAGTGGTGGAAAAGCAACACATTTTTAGTACTTCAAATTTTGGTTTTGATTAGTTCCCAGGTTAGTGGCATGCAGGAAGGCAGTCTTGTGAGCTATGGCAATGAGATCTCAAATTACTCAGAGGATCATAAGTGTAAATAATTAACACTGTCCTGAGCCAACTTGCTAAACTGTGATTATGTTTTGGTAATTCCAATATGCATTGAAAATATCTTTCACAGGACAGAAATACATGTATACCCTTAACCTGCAGGAATATCACAGTTTAGAAGCCTCTATGTACAGAATACTCACGAAGGATTTTATTGAGAGCAAATCAAACTGGTTTTTCACTTAAATGTTTTACCTAGTAAATCATCATTCTGGTTTTATAAGCAAGACTAATTTACTGTCCATCTTTTAAACTAACATCAAGGGAGTATTGTTCCTTTATCCTCCTTAGCCTTTGTTTTTATGTTGCATTTATACACATACTCTTATGGCTTAGAACAGAAAAATATATTAGCTAATATATATATATTAGCTAATATATATATTAGCTAATGGAATATCATGACTATTTTTAATATTACATACCTAAAACCAAAAAAGCTATTAACAAGAGTGACTGTAACAAACCAGAGATGGGCTTTCAGTACATGATGCATATTCTCAAGCAAGGGTAGTGTTTTTACATATTACTCTATAGAAGAAGAATTCAATTTTTCTTAAGTCAAATTATGGTATTAGTAAATTTGTACATATAGAATTTTCATTTCTTCATCAAAAAGTCATGTTAAAATGTATGACCATAATACAGGGAGAAAAGACTCACGCTCATGATAAGTTACTCTACTCTCTACTGTTTTGGGAAATTTGAAAGAAAAATTACAATAAAGGTTAAATTACGATGTTAATTGCGCAAAGATAGCTCAGATTTGCTAAGCATATGAATGCCTGCTTTTGACCTTACCAGGCTTCTTCTGAGATCATGCCAGAATCCTAATTTACACAACAGCCAAAACAACAGAAAGAATACACACATGGGGCTAGAGAGATGGCTCAGAAGTTAATAACACTGGCTGTTCATCCAAAGGTTCTGAGTTCAATTTCCAGCAACCACTTGGTGGCTCATAACAATCTATAGTGAAATCTGGTGCCCTCCTCTGGTATGCAGGCACACATGCTGAGAGACCAAACAATTAAAAATCAGTGGGTATTATTTTAAAGTTTAAAGCTCCAGTCACCTGGGAAAAGAAGCTAGCTTTAATGCATTCTTTCCCCACCCACTAGAGATTCAGTTGTTAGGAAACTGGGCCAGATGGCCATGCCAGAACCATGTTTGGCCTTGGCACCTAAAGTAAACCAATCATTTCAAAAGTCAATTTCTCTTACCCAATCATGTAACACCAAAGCATGTAAGTCCCTGCTTGCGGTTTTACCCTTTTAAAAAACCTTGTTCCCCTAGACTGTGCCAGGCCGCATTCCTTGTGACCCGTGTTTGAGCATGTATACAATAAATAATAATAAAAAAAACCCTCATGTATTTATAGCTGAGTCTATTCCTGGTCTTTTGGGGTCTCACGAACTGGGCACAACAATAATGCTAAGTAGGAAATAAATGAACCTTAAAAAACAAGAAAAAATACATAAAGGGTATTGGTAAAGGGTGGAGGTAAAGGGTGGTTTTGACCTTGGTTTTCCTACTGTCTTCGAGGCCAAACAAAGTATAACTTGATTTTTTTTGTTTACTTAAAAAATGATAATAAAAGCAGTTTCAATAATCTGCAATCAACAAACATTTAGAAACAACTTAAACAGAAGCTATAAACCAAAGAGCTCTACATTTCTCAATGCCTAGGCTTGAGTATTTTTAAGATTTTAAGTTACAGCGTAAGTCAAAAGTTGTGTCTCTCCTTGATCCCCTGGTTTGTCCTTTGTGAGTCTGCAGCTCACTGACAGCCTTGAGAGATTTTCTCTCATCAAAACATTGAATCAGACACATACTTCAAAGACAACGGTGGTCCAGTCTCCACAGGAAGAAGACGTAGAGGTGGTTCTGGGTGGGTATGTGAGGACACACTGCATGTGTGTCTCTTGTTTCATAACACGTGTTGTGTTCTTTTCTTTGAAGACTGTGGTAGCCATGGAAATGTGGCCTCAAGGGTGGCTGATTGGGAATATGCCGAGGTTTTTGTTTTTGTTTGTTTGTTTTGTTTTTTACAACTGGCTTTCTAGAAAGAAAAAGTTCTTCTTTGTAGTACTTGCCAATTTTTATGATGTAAATATTCTCACCACAGCCAATTTAATCTACCAACTTGATGTCACTGAAGGCTGAAAAACATACATACCGTATAGGCTCTTGTGAGCCAGTGCAAGTGGCTCCTGTGTACAAATGCACTCTGTTCTCACTAGAATGGCAGCTTAACACAAGAAAATGAGTTGCACAAAGTACCGTTCAATTTGAAGAGAATGGATCTACTTATGTGTGGTCAGTTTGGCTTTAGTTCCTGACTTTTTCTTTGAGCGCCATGCTGACAGCATGGACGCTGTGCACAGTTTGATGACCTTAAGCCCTAGAACTGCCTTTTTTTTTTTTTTACACATAAGGGATCTTTTCATAACTAACATTTAAAACTGAAATAATTGAGAACCATTTTTAATCTAATTTTTATACCATGAACCAAAGAAATTTTGTTGTACTTCAAGGTAACAGTACAATCTGCATTCTAACATGTTGGATAAGAGAAAATATTTTATATCAAGGTTTTTTTCCACAGTAAGTAAAAACTTTAATGGCAGGCTACATTAGTCTATAATGTATTCAGAGGTAAAAGCATCAATACACCCTGTTTCTTCCTAAAATATATACCAATTAACACCATTGTACACATGTATAGTGTTGACAGGGTATTATCTAATAAAGACTAGGATTCTTTAAAGCATTTATGACAAGGGGCACTGGTAGAACCAGGGCTGCTATTATGTGTACTGATTATTTTGCATTCTACAAGGAAATTAGCCAGCCTGGCAGCACTAGGGAAGAATGTACTAATTAGCATTTTGTGTACATATGCAAAATCTCATGGCTTCTGAACCTTGCAATCCTACTGTATAGAAGGGGACCTCTTCCCAAACGCCCAGCATGATACTCAACTCAGAAGGGTGATCACAAAAATATCATGGACACAATAAAAACACAACAATATAGTACAAACTTCTGTTTTTTCAAAAGCCAGATTTTAAAGGTCTATGTTTATGTAAAATACACAGATATTTTAGTGCTCCTGACTTCTTATCCTTTTGTGTAAGATTAACTGATTTCAGAAAGCCAAGTTAAATGTTCTCATAATTTTCTGCTTTAGAATTTTTTACAGAATAACGTTTAAAACTACATGAGGAAGAACTTTACAAAGTGGCCTAATAAACACACTTTACCTAAGTTAACTGAGCACGGCTTTAGTGAATGCCCTGTCAAACAAAAATGCCTCACGCTGCATTTTTGTATTTAAATTTCTTTGTTCAGATGACTTTTAGACAAAAGTGTCAAGATTTTATGTTCTTAAACAAAACCAAAAATACCAAAGTCATTTCTCATTTTCAAACTGTATTTAAAGAATTTCTTGTTTCAATATAATAAAAAGCCATAGTATACATTAAAAACATGGCTAGGCAGTTGGCTTTAATCCTAGAATATTACAAGTGGCTATCAAGTTCTAAATTTAAACATGTGATGTTATTCTGTAGTTTTGTACTCTTAAATACAGATATCAAAGAAAAATGATCTGACTTTCTTTTTTCTTAAGGAAGATAGAAATCACTCTTGGGGAAAAAACAAAACAAAACAAAACAAAAAAAAAAAACAAACTACACACCACAACAGGAAATGCATTGTCTTAAATCTTAGAATAATTGTTAGAAAAGAACTATAAAATTATAAACTTTTGGGAGAAAATGCACTGAAATGTCTGTAGGAAAAACATGCAACAAACTAGGTACAAGATTACAGGCACTCAGCCTTAAAAACCCACACAAAGAAATTAGCACCAGAGTCGTCTCTAAGTTTACAAACAATGTAATGAAGTCCAAGTATAACATATAAAAACTTACACTTAACCCCAAAACTTTACCAACAATAATAAATATATTATTTTCAGTTTCAGGAAACAGCTAGATTTTAATTTCCACAGCACTATGGCGGTATGTGGCAGTTATCATTTACTTTGTTTTGGACTACTGAGAGCTGACAGAGAGACAAATATCTCCCCAAAATGGCATTTTTCAGTGGAGGTATGGCTGGAACAGTTTTCCAATTAAACCTTATTCTTAGCTACTTTTCCCATTTTCTTTCAAAGTGTTTTTATTGGAACTTAACAAGAATTACACTGCTTCTCTGAGACTCCATGCCATGCTATTCCCCTCTTACTGTCTGGTGATGTTCAGATTGGGCTTGGGGAAGCAGGTGTCTAAAGGTAGGTACAGATTACAGGAGTGAAAAAGAGTTTTAATAAGCTTGAATTTTAAAGAACATTCATTTATAATTTTAATTACAAAACAGCCAGTACACAGTATGAAATATGTCACACTCTTTGGGCTTTCAAAAAGCCCAAGTGTATATCTCAATCAATTACATATATGGCTACTAAATGTCCAATGTTTTACTGCTGTACATAAATAATGACAAGGCAAAGAACAGCAACTAGTCCAAGGGCTTGTAGGCCAAGGAACCATAGCATAAGCCAAAAGAAAATGACCACTACCGGTTCCACAATTCGTTCTCCAAAATACATCCTTGTGAATCCCATGTTGCGGAGGTTTTTGTTCAGTTCACCAAAAAGTGTTCCCATCTTTTTGTAGTCATCTCCAACAGGCTCGCCAATGTGATTTTGTGATTCTTCAACATCCTTAAAAAAAAAAAAAGACAAACCAAGACATGGACATAAGGAATATGTAATACCTTTAACAACAATGATCTCACCATATCTTCTCCAAATAGCTGGGCACACACTTCTGGTAATCATTTAGTTATCACTTATGGAGATGTTCACAACTCATGAGTATATAATTTCACATGGCAGAGGTAGTCTGCAGATTCAAGCAAGGCCCTGATTCTGAGAAGAGGCATGGTGAACTGGACTGATGCAACACAAGAACCTTTATAGTATGGAGTTGGTAAGATGCATTAATAAGATGCAGTGCTCCTGACTGCAAGATGGAGGGAGGAGCTGTGAGTAGTATGTGACACTGGAGGAGAAATTGGACAGATCTTTGAGTGCCTCTGAAAGGAGCACATCCTTGCTGATCTAGACTCCTGATCTCCAATATAAGAAATTTGTGCTGTAGAATGAAAAACACTGTTCAGACATTGGGAATGTTCCTTTGGATTGACATTGTTTATCCTACCTTTCAAGAACAGAGAAAGCACTACTGGTTTTTGTAGACTTAGCATAAGACCTCCAACTAGACCATTGATTTGTAAGATATGTGGATCATTCACCTCTACTCATTCACTCATTCACTCCTCACTCACTCACTCACTTTCCAGATGCTTGGCATTGTACCAAGGTGTCTACATAGATGAAGAATGATGTTTTCATTTCTCTGAGGGCCTGGTTGCAGAGCCACCTGTCTCCTGATCTCCTGTTTCATGAAAAAGGCCTCCTGGCTGCTTTAACTTGGTGAACACACGGAGAGTTTTAACATTTTAGGCTCAGCTAGCTGGAGGATGACTAGTTACTATAGGCTAGCCCTCAGCCATTGCTGTTGTGATCTCTCTAAGCCTCAGGTATCTCTATAGGTTTATGTGGAGGCCCTTGCATAGCTTCCTGTCAAAACACTACTAAGACTGTAAATGCTTCCTGTTAATCTCATCACAGGAAACAAAGTTTGAAAGAGGATTGATGTCACATAAGGATGAAGTCCATGCCCCAGAAAATCTCCATGTATCCCCAACTATATATGCCTACAGCATTTGTTTTTGTTACTGCCCAATCTTACTACAACTCAGAACATCATGCTAGTTCTTAATGTTTCCAACCCACTTCTGTGGCTTTGATATTTGTTTCTTCAAACGTTTACATGTTGTGGGCGTGGTCTTTAGCATGATGTCAGGAGGTGAAAGCATCAATATGTGAGGCTTAGTGGGAGGTTATCTCACTCAGTAGGGGTTTGTTCTAAAAAAAAAATCATTAATTCTTCCAATAAGATTATCAGGAAAGGCTTGGGCCTTGAGTCAACCAAGCTTTGTCTAGTTTCCTGTTCTACAATGTGGTCATTGTACCTGGGGCTGCAGTCTACTCTGAGGTGAGACAGCCAAGGCGGAACACCCATTTCCTTCTATCTCTTCATTTGAATTTTTAGAATCTAAAACCGTTAGCTGAATAAAACATGTTTTCTTTAAAAATTAACCTGTCTCTGGTATTTCATGACAGTAGGAAAAAAGTGACAACAATCCTTTGGAATTCTGCAAACATTTCTGGCTCCTGTTATATTCTGCCAATAGAAGGAACAGAGAGATACACACAGGTGAAAAGAGAAAGTAATTTGCTTGGATTAATATTATGTTTATTAGCTTCTAATGCTTTTATGTATTACATGATACCATACTACATTAAACCTGAAAATTTGTCCCTTGTCTGATATTAAGCTGTTTCCCTCCACAGCAGTCTATGAAGAATCGTTGATTTAGTTTGCAGTTATTCTGGGTCCACATCTTGATTTCTCCAGTGTTTAGTAACATTGATAGTGTTTCTGGTTTCTTTTTAAAGTTCTTTTAAAAAATTATTCTTTTATTAATTACAGTTTGTATCCCAGCTGTAGCCCCCTCCCTCAGCCCCTCCCAATGCTACCCTCCCTCCCTCTCCTCCTCCCATGCCCCTCCCCAAGTCCACTGATAGGGGAGGTCCTCCTTCCCTTCCCTCTGACCCTAGCCTATCAGGTCTCTTCAGGACTGGTTGCATTGTCTCCCTTTGTGGCCTGATAAAGCTGCTCCCCCCTCAGGGGGAGGTAACCAAAGAGCCAGCCAGTAAGTTCATGTCAGAGACAGTCCCTGTTCCCATTACTAGGACACCTACTTGGACACTGAGCTGCCATGGGACACATCTGTGCAAATGCTTCTAGGTTATCTCCATGCATGGTCCTTGATTGGAGTATCAGTCTTAGAAAAGACCCCTGGGCCCAGATTTCTTATTTTGTTGCTCTTTGTGGAGCTCCTGTCCCCTCTAGGTCTTTCTATATCTTCCTTCTTTCTTAAGATTCCCTGCACTCTGCCCAAAGGTTGGCCATAAGTCTCAGCATCTGCTTTGATACCCTGCAGGGTAGAGTCTTACAGAGGCCCTCGGTGGTAGATTCCTGTCCTGTTCCCTGTTTTCTCCCTCTTCTGATGTCTGTCCCATTTGCCCTTCTGATTGAGGATTGATCATCTTATCCAGGGTCCTCCTTCTTGCTTAGCTTCTTTAGTTGTACAAGTTTTAGTATTTTTATCCTATATTATATGTCTAATATCTACTTATAAGTGAGTATGTACCATGTTTGTCTTTCTGCTTCTTAAAAAAAATTTTTTTTATAATCAATTGTTATCTAAGTACTCATCATACTTTGGTGTTTTTGGTAGTTCTTGAAGTTTCGACGATTCCCCCTCCCCCCCAGCATTTTTGTGGTTTCAGTATGAACAAAGTACCCAGTACCAAAGTAGTAGCTATTTACTTTAATGTAAATAAAGTAAAATGAATTAAGTCTATGAATGTGCCTGGGATTATCAAAGGAAAAGGTAGTTATTGTAACACAACTCCAGCAGGGAGATAGTTAACCCTGAATCCCGATGACCGCAAAGATCCTGTAGGAGTTGGTGGGACTGAGATGGCAAGGTAGTAAGAGTAAATTTTGGCAAGGTATAGTCATTGCAGCCTGCTTCTATTAACATATACATGTATATGTTTATATATATGTATGTGTGTGTGTGTGTGTATATATACCTATATACATTATATATATATATATATATATATATATATATATATATATATATATAATCCAAACTTAATGATTACTAAATTTTGCAACCTCCCTATGGTACTGCTCAGGGTGGCCATCTAAGTAAGAAAAGGTTACTAGAAAAATGGCCCCCCAAAATATGTCTTCACAAATGCAAATCTATGAAAACATCACATTCCTACAATGAACTGAATAGGTGCTTAAACAACCCAAAGATGACACCTGCAAAAACGGGGAAGAAATGGGCAGTGTTGCTAAATTAGGACGTTTTAGTGGGCCTCAGTGTGGTGTTTTCTGTATCTACAGAGAAGCTTTGGGGTCCTTGTTCTGTTTCTGAGGCTTGTTATTTCCAGGGTAAAGGTGATGTCAGTAGCACTATTAATGATGTAGAGCGGAAGTGCCGACACTGAGCACCCACTGTGTAACAGTCACAGCATTACCCAGAAATCTCTGTTTCCAGGGAAGGAAGCTGCCAGCATGACTTATACTCAGGTCTTATACAGACCTGTCAGGTCTGTGAGGCTGACACCCTTATCTCCATACACTGCTAGTATCTACTAAGTGGCAAACACCTCAGTTTTCAGATACATTTTATACAGTTCATCTCTGGAAAAGAAAGGCTATGGTAATATTTTGTTTTACAATAGAATATTTAACTCATTAGCAGAGCAAGTTGAACATCAGAATGATTCTTGCTTTACATCTTTTCTCAAGGTTTTAATGTAAGTTTATCAAACAGGAAAATCGCTCAAACTTTTATTTTCATCTTGTGCAAAAATTTAAATGAGGCAAAGCTATTTGTAGACTTGTACATTTTGTCGTTTTTAAAGTAGTCACTGGAACTCACATTAAAATGTAAAAAAAAAAAAAAAAAAAGAAAGAAAGAAAAGAAAAAGACAATAAGGACTACAAGCTTCCCATCGAGCATGAAGAAATATACCTGGCAGGGCTGCACTAAGAAAATCTGCCTCACACACGAGCAGTAAACCAACGCAGAAATGCAGATGGAGCATTCCCTGCTCTGACATTAATCATCTGTGTTTCTGCCAGACTTTCTTCTTTGTGTGTGAGGCTCCAATGGAGACCATTTGTCAAATGGACAGCTCCTTTTAGGGCTGCACAAGACTACTGGAGAGAGTTCTCAGCGAGGTACTGACAGCCCTTGTTTGTCCATGATTGAAGACACACAAAAATACAAGAGTGACACAACTGATTCAAAATCCTTTAAATTTTTCTATTATTGTGTGTGTGCAAGCATGTGCATGCACACATATTTATGTGAGGGATGTTTGTAGGGGTATACATGGCACACACATGCTGGTCAGAGAACGATTTTGTGTAGTTGGTCCTTTCCTTTACATGGGATCTGGGGCCTGAACTCATGTTACCAGGCTTGTGCAGCAGGCTGCTTTACCAGCTGAGCCATCTTGCTGGCCCTCAAAACCCTTCTTAATGATAAGACTTTAAGCTGCATACGGATATAGAGATGAACCACTGCTGTAGATAGTCACTGAGACTGGAAGTCATGATGAGGAACATGAGTTTACTGCAGTACACATGCCAGGATATATAACATATAAAAGAAATTATCTTTTGACAGCGTAATAGATTATGACCTGAGTTTTACTAACAGAGGAATAAATAAGTGGCAGCTCAAACCTTGCTGCATTTTCTCAACTTGTTTACTCAACTCCTCCAGTCGCCTGTTTTTCAGCTTCACTGGCATCCTAGTCTACTGGCTTCTGATCTCTCTCAATCTCTCTTTTCTTCACTTACCTCAGTGATAATTTCTGATCAGTCAGTTGTTAGTTTCACCAAGCTCCCTTGTAGTGGTGAGTTGTTTTTCTCCTGTTGCTTTTAGGGTTTTCTGACTTTCAACATTTAACCAACTCATGTCTGTTTGTATCTATCT